GCAGGCGGGAGCGGAGCCAGGCGCCAGTCTGACTTCACCTTGGCTCTCCTCCTCTGCCTGCCCCGCTGCTTTCTGTGAGCATCCCAGTAATAAACTTGTGATGGGCACAAGCAATGAGCTCTTCTCCCTGTCTGCCTGCCTGCAGTGACACGTGGCCCCAGAGCACCTTTCCCTGCCTGGCCCTGTCTGTCCCTGCAGCTCCTGGCACCCTGCAGCAAGCTGCCCCCCAGCCCTGGCTCCCTACCCACACGCAGTCCCTTGTAGCCCCCCAGACCAGGGCAGCCCCAGTGGCCCCCCCGTCCCGTCCCCCAGGGCAGCAGTGGCTCAGGGAAATCCCAGGGAGGGCTGCTCAGGGCAAGTGCAGGAAACCCAGACCTGGGTGGGTGCCTTTCTGCAGGGCAGAGAGGCAGGGAGATCGCTAGGGAGATTGGCGGGGTGGCGGGTGCTGGGGTAAGGAGGAGACCGAGCCAGGGCTACAGCAGCGCACGTTTATGGGGTCTGGCCTGGCGCGTTGCGGGTAACAGGACGCAGCGACATGCTGGGCACAGAGATCGCGTAAGCTACGGGGGGAGCTGGGTCCCACAGGGCTGGCACTGCCTTGGTCCAGCTCAGTGCCGGAACTGCGGCACCGGGGAGGGGACGCGGATGTCCTGCCCCTTCTCCAGCCGCCGCTCACAGTCAATCAGGTAATTCACACCGTCTATCACCAGCTGCACCAGCTCCACCTGCACCAGGAGCACACACATCCTGACTCAGGGGCTGTCCTGGGAGCCACACCAGCAAGGCACCTGGCCAGCCCCACTGCGTGAAGGGCAGGTGCCCCCACCCCCAGTCTCCACATATGGGCCCCAGCACACATCCCTGGAGCTGTTTGGCTGCCGTGGGCCTGTCATGCACGCATGCTTCAGAACCTCCCTCCCCAAAAGCAGCTCTGCCCGGCACCCACCTCTGACTTCCCCAGCCGGTCCAGGTTGGAGATGTCGAAGATGCTGCCAGTAGCTGCGGTGTCCACACCGCCTGTTCCACGCTTCTGTAGCCGGAGGTTCTCCAGGATCTTAGGGAAGCGACTATCCTGGTGTCCAGAGAAGACGTCAGTGCTCAGCGGTACCATCAGCAAGGGAGGCGGGGCTCTGCTGCCAACTGCTCCCTGGGGCAGCCCTCCCACCACTCACAGGACCCCATCAGTGGGCTTGTAATCCCTGCAGGGAGCCCTGCCCTGAGCAGACCCAGGTTGACACCCGGGTCCCCAGCCCCTCCAGCCACGGATGCAGGCGTGGGCTAGACCATATGCTCCACTTCCTGGGGGAACCTGAGTGAGGTCCAGGGCTGGGTCCCATGCAGTCCTGCACCTCTTGTGTGGCTGGGCTCCCTCTGCCCCAGCAGCTGGGGCTCCCCACAGCCCTGGCCTGGCTCCCCACAAAAGTGGCCACAGTAATACCTTGCTGAGCAGCGGCAGCTTGATGTGGACACCTGCTCGCAGCCCAGTGCCCAGGTTGGAGGGGCAGGTCAGGGAGGAACCCAGCCGCTCGTTCCACATGAACTCCCAGCCTCGCTCCTGGATTAGCCGTTCCACCTGGGTTAGAGGCACAAGCACCTATTCAGCCTCCAGCTGTGGAGTGCCCAGGCCTTGGCATGGCAGCACCACCCAGCCCCGGCCGAGCACAGGGGGCCAGCCCTGCAGCGGCCCTGCTTGCCCGTGTCTGCCTGTCCGCTTATCTGCCTGTCCACGGGGCTTGCACAGCGGGGCTGGCCGGTGCTCACCTCCTTCAGGCCCCGACAGAACCGCTCGAAGACGCGCTTCATGTTGCCACCCTTCTCCATGGAGATGACGCGCGTGTGGTCCTCCTCGTTGATCCAGATCAGGAAGGTCTTCTCGTTGTTGTGCCTAGGGACAGGTCAGTGTTCAGCTGTACTGGTGGCCGGCAGAGCTCCTGTGCCCACGCAGCCACCTGTGCCAGCCCCGGCCGTGCCCCTTCTGCCCCTGCGACCATGGTGCCACTGCTGCCGCACAGTCCCGGTGCTCTGCCTGTGCCCATGGCTGGGAGCGCGTTGGAGAGCACAGCCCGGGAGCAAGGCCAGCAC